GTTTTACTTTTAAACTGTAAGTGTATTTAATTTATTTATAATGTAAATCCAATACAAATTAAACCAAGATTTAGAATAATTATCATTTTGATCCATATGGTAATGTGTGACTGGGCCTCGTGTCACTTTATGTTCAGTAAATTGCCTGTGCTCTAACAGAACCGACTGTCTCACCTGCCTCAGTTTCACTTTGACCCACTTCATTTATCCTCTCCGCTGCTTTAAAGAACCAAATCCAGGTTTACTGAAGAAGCCAGCCAATCCAGTTTACTGCTCCTGAACCGTTTTTCATCTTATTAAACAACAATATTTAGCAACAACTGTTATGTCGTTTCCGCTTCATTTCCTGCCTGGAACCTCCTGAGCTCCTTCTTCCTCAAATCGTGTCACGGTTCTGCAATCCCTTGCAGCCTTTTGCATCATGTAATCTGATTTCCTCTGCTCCTCTGAGGACGGCTGAGCTGCATCCCAGCGAACCCTCAGAGYTCTGCCTCTGAGAAGCTTCGTCAAACCGACACAAAGCTACAGTACTGCAGTAGTACTAACCAGTACTGAGTACTCCACGTCGTCTCCCAGCAGCCCCGTGTCGTTCAGAGTGTATTTAGCTTTCTTCAGCTTGGCGTCCACCGGACCTTTCTCCACCTGATGCTTCAGGGCCTTGAACAGTTTGTATAACGGCTCTCCGGCCGTGTCCTGAAACAGGAAGTTCAATTTAACAACGTTTGAAAACAAAATACTTTCTGTTAGAGGACATAAACTGTTTAAAAAMAAACAGCTTTAGCTGCTATTGTTGTTTCATCCACTTAAATTATTTGAAACATGTTTATAAACAGCTAAAGTTACTGAAACAGACTGAGCTGACTCCAGCCTCTGCATACTTATAGGCAAATTCAGGTTTTTGTTTACATTGAGTGCATACCCACATTCCAGCCTTACGTGAAATAAACTTTTGATTTCATACTTTGCATCAAGTAACTCTGAAGTGCCTGTGACATCAAATTTTTGGAATAAATGTGAACGCATTTTTGGAAAGAGAACATTGATAACAAGTTGCAAAACTAATTTTGTGCCGTTGAGATGAACGGTTGTTGAGATATTTGCCTGTGAAGAAACAGGAAGTGATGTCAGAGGGGAATGTCTGCATGTGAACAGAGCGTTGTTATAATAAAGACAAGAATCTGATGTTTCTTTAGATTAGGTCACTATCAGAGTTGAAGAAGAGTTTAAATAAGATTGTTTCAATAAACWAAGACCAGAGAGTTTATTTTCTTAAAGAGTTCCCCTTTGATGTCACTTCCTGTTTCACTTTGAGCCAAATTCAAGAGAAAATGTGCCAATTATGAGACCAAATGGGTTCAGTCATGTGTATTACGCTAATTTTCTTAAATATAAATGTTTTCTTTGACTTTTTTGGATTTGAAGGATAAGCATGTCATAGGCTTTTAAATATTTAAAGCATAAAAATGATTAATTAAAATCATATCATAACATTTTATGTTTTTCCAAATAAAAATGATAAAAGTATCAGTTTGGCTGATATTTAAAGTATTTTTGGTGTTTCACATTGTAATGTGACGACTTTTATTCATGTCAGGACTTAAATTTGATCAACCTGATGTAAAAAAACAAGCGTTTCTGTCGTTTAGGGTTTTTGATATGAACTAAAGCTCAGGAGGAACGAAGGTTTTAGAGTCAGTTAGAAATAAAAGATCAAACAGAATCAAAGTGTTACCCTGAGGAACTGATACAAGCAGATGGACATCCAGTTACACAGCATCCTCTCCACCACCGTCTCCGACCTGCGTCCAACACAAAACATCAGATCTGTGCAGGCTAAAGACAAACACTAAAAACTAAAGACGTTTTACACGTTCTTCGGCTCGCGTTCAGCTCGTCAGGCTTCACAGCAGGAGGTCAGAAAGCAGCCGAAGCAGCTCTCCTGCTTATTTTTCTACGGYTCAGATTACAAACCTGAAGTGTCTCAGACTCAGACAGAACTTCACAGGAACCAGAAGAAAAACTAAGCGTGACGAGCAAAGGTTATTGTGTTTGTTCACCTCCTGAGCATCAGTTTGGGGTTTTTGTTCTGCACGTGTTCATCCATCAGGTCCAGCAGCAGCGTCCTCATGATGTCCGTGTAGTACTCCAGTTTTCCGTGCAGCGCCACCGTCAGCAGCGAGGCGAAATATCCCCGAGAGCGGGCGTTAAAGTCGGGCCGGCTCTCCAGTGTGCGGATGAACTGAGAGCCAAACAAACAGGATTGGGTTTGATTTAAAGGTGGTTAAAAGAGCCCGACGACACGTTAAATTTACAAACTCCTCGGCCTCACGTTGATGAGGAAGGTTTTGCTGTTCAGCAGGTTGGAGAACTGGTTCAGRGCCTGAGTCACGATGGCCCTGCGAGCCTCTGTGATCTGGATCTTTCCTGTGATCATGGGGTCGTTGGAGCCCTCTTTGGACGGCAGGAAGAAGTTCCTGTCCGTGTAGTTCTTATAGTCCAGGAARGGGATCCGGCCTTCGCTCAGGTGGCTGGTGTGGTCCTCCATCTCTATCATCAGATCTGTGGAGGAAGCAGAGGAAAACCTAAAGGAACCTGATGGTGACAACAGTAAAAAGAAACCAAACACCTGAACTTTACATGTGAATTTCAGTCGCATAACTAACAACATAATAAGATTCAGGATCAGTTTGTCTCCTTGTTTACTTCTATTTACTGTTACGCACTTTTAAAACTTTTAGTAAGCCTGTTRCCTTCTGCAAATAATCACTCATTTTTCGGCAAAATCAACTTTTTTTTCCATAAATCCTGTCATGATGTTGACCACCTGTGGTAAACTGGAAGAAATAATTTCGGCGATTATTTTAGGAAGGTGTCAATATTTAGCTTTTAGCTATCCTTTACAACTGTCAGTATTTAGACAGCACTTTGCTTAATTTAGCTTTCAAATAGCATTTTGCATTTAGCATTTAATTAACTTATATGTAACTAGCAGTTTTCAGATTTAACTTTAGCTATTATTAAGCCACATTTAGATTTTAGCTCATGATTTAGACKTTTGCTTTGTTTAGCTAGAGTTTTGCTACTTTGAGATTTAAGATAGCCTTTACTAATTTCAGCTTTAAGTGCAAGTTTCACCATTTTTAACAAGCATCTCGCATTGTTTAGCTTTTAGCTAGTCCTTGGATACTTTAAGACGTAAGATAGCCTTTGATACTTCTAGCTTTTAGCTAATGTGTCATTTTTAGAAAGTGTTTTTGCTTCATTAACCGTTTTGCTAGTGTTTGGATACTTTAAGATTTAAGGTAGTCTTGGTTACCTTTAGCTATTAGCTAGTGTTTAGCCAATTTTAGCAAGTGTTTTGCATTGTTTAGCTTTTAGCTAATGTTTGATTAATTTTGAGATTTAAGTTAGTTTTGGTACTTTTAGCTTTTAGCAAGTGTTTTGTTCTTTTTAGCTAGCTTTTTGTCATTTTTAACTACTGTTTAGCATCGCTTAGGTTTTACCTAGTGTCAGAAAACTTTGAGCTTAAAGCTAGCCTTTGCTACTTTTAGCTTTTATCTAGTCTACTGCTACTTTCAAATTTAAGCTAGCTTTTGCTACTTTTAGCTTTTATCTAGTTTTCTGCTACTTTGAAATTTAAGCTAGCCTTTGCTACTTTTAGCTTTTATCTAGTTTTCTGCTACTTTGAAATTTAAGCTAGCCTTTGGTACTTTTAGCTTTTATCTAGTTTTCTGCTACTTTGAAATTTAAGCTAGCCTTTGCTACCTCTAGATTTTATATTGTGTTGTGCGTCGCTTAGCTTTTAGCTAATGTTCATAATTTGAGCTTTACGCTAGCCTGTGCTACGTTTAGCTAACAGCTGATGGAGGATTGTTGGYAACATTAAAAAAACAAACACCAGTTTAGAATTCAGAACACGCCATATTTTAGCACGTCCCACCCAACAGGTGAGGGTCTTCACCTGTGAACTCCTTCTTGCAGCGATCTCGAACGCTTTCCTCCAGATTCTCCAGCTGATGCTTCACCTTCTCGTATTCCCGCTCCGCCTGCTGACTCTTCCTCCTGTCCCGAAGCAAACGAGACCAAGATCAGAAACAGGAAGTAAAGTGTGCGGCACCACGAACGCCTCGTCGTGAGGACATTTACTCCGACCTGTAGCAGTAGACGGACACGGCGATGAAGAGCAGCATCGGAACGATGACGGCGGGGATGATGATGGCGAGGGGAAGTTTGTATTTTTCGTCRTAGTACACAGAACCCACGACCCACTCGCCATAACCGAACTTCACCTGGAAGTCGAAACAACGAGTGGATTAACTCAGGTTGTCTTCATGATGTCATAAAGAGAGACGAAGGACGGTTTGTTCACCCTGAGCTCCAGCGAGTCGTCGGCCGTGTCTCTGCGCTGACGTCTGGATTTGACATGAGGTTTCGTCGTAGGAGCGTCCAGAATCAGTTTATCATCCTGCGCAAAGAAAACAAACATCTTGTGATGAGCTCAGGAGTAGCTTTAACGAAACCCTCTAACGAACGTCTACAACCGATTAACTTCTGGACTTCAAGCTGTTTAAAACGTCTCTTAATACATTCAGTTTTAGTGGAACTGATAAAGTTGCCCCTCTGAAAAAGAACCTAATCAGAGAAAGTTGCTTCTTTGTTTGATTAGAGACGGACAATAACGTTTTGCTAAGTTTAACCTGCAGACACAAAAAACCCTTTATAAAACTGCAACATTAGTTCAAATTCTTTACCCTCACTAGGGCCACTGGTGGTAGCTGAGAGTCCTTCACAATACATCCTCTGAGTGCAGTGGTGGAGCTCCACTGTGTGGAAACAGGGACCCCTCAAGCAAAATTGTGTTCACAGAGCTTTGTACTCTGAATTACTGTCCTCCTGGGTGACTGTTTTCATTTAGTTGAGTTCCCACAATTCTTAGCGTGGCAGGAAGAAGTTGGAGCTACTTCACTGGGCCACAATCCACCTGTGGTTCTGATCTGCAGAACCACTCTCTGCTGTGTCGTTTGTACCTCCTCTCTGAGGGACACCGCAGCAATAAATATTAAATAAATAATAACAATAATAATAATAAATAAACACAGAACAGTTTAAATTAATGCTCTTATTTTGAAAAGAACGGGTTCCTGTTCTTCGTCCTGTAGCCTACCCAGAATGCATTGCTTCAGTTTTAAAACAATTTAAAATTACTAATATATCTGCATGTTTTCTTATTGGAGCCCTTCCAATGATCATAAGAAAATGACAAAGAAGCAGCAGAACTAGCAATCAATAACTATTTTTTTGTTTTAACACCATGATTTAAAGTCTGTTTCAACAAATCACCTCCCCAAACTGCGACGACGTGCCAGTCTGTGAAAGAAAAGGATCTTACCACAAGATGGCAGTGAAGTGCTGACTTATATCATACCTGAATGTTTTCTGGTGAACGGAGACAATCTTATGCTTTATATATAGCTTTTGCTAAGTTTATTTGTATGTGTGCTTTTGAACTTGCGGACCTAAATTGACTAGCGCTTTAGAAATAGCGCAACTAAATTTTGAATTAGCGCTGCTGCCCACCACTGCCTGAGTGCTTTTTGAACAAACTAAATTCAACAACTTGGTGAGACGAGCACTCTTTAATTATTATATCCAGAACCAGAGGAAATGACTCTCGGTGTATGTTATCTATAAGAGTCGTGCTGATGGGGAGCAGAAGCTCGAGGATAACTTTCATGAAACACCAGCCTGCTGGGTTTCAGTCGGCTCTGAGAACAAGCGAGAAGCCATGATTATTTTCGGCTGCGTTCTCATTCAGAGCCGAAGGTGCAGAAGACTCCTGCTTTTTTCAGATGACACCTTTGCGGCCCCGCAGCTGGGAGTCTCTGCCTTCACTGATTCTCTTTCATCAGGAAGCTGATTGATTTTCCAAACGCAGATCAAGCCTTCCCCGCGCCTCGGCGGCGAGACGCCGTCACCTGCCAGACTTCCATTAAGGAGGTGAAGTCAGGTGAGGCGAAGTCAGGTGAGGTGAAGTCAGGTGAGGCGACGCCAACATCCACAGCTTGTGATGCTTTAAGGAGCAGCTGCCTACCTGCAGGTGGTTCACGTGACAGGACGTGCCGCCGACGAACGCCTCGGCCTCTTTGGCCGTCATCGCCTTGGCGAAGCCTTGGCCCTGAGGAAGAGGAGAAGAGATGATGAAGAGTAACATTAAGTGAAACCGACACGAGAGATCAGACATGGAGGCTCAGAGGCAGGAGGCAGGCCCACGTTAGGGGACTAAAACAAAAACTAAAGAATAAGGATCAGTTTGGCTCCTTTTAGCTTCTAATTACTGCTTTCACCCTTTAAAAATTTAGCTTGTTGCTACTTAAGCTAGCAGATAGCATTAGTGTTTAGCTAACTTTTGGCATTTTTTAAAATGTTCCTTTTTTTTACTAGTTTTCTGCTACTTTTAACTGGCTTTTGCTGCTATTAGCAAATTTTTGTTTGCTTTCAGCTAACATTTTGTTACTTTTAAATAGAGTTAGCCATATAATGTTTTAAACTAGCAGCTAGCATTTGTGTTTAGCTAACTTATAGCTAACTTGGCATTTTTTAAATGTTCCTATTTTTAACTAGTTTTATGCTACTTTTAACTGGCTTTTGCCTCTTTTAGCAAACTTTTGTCTGCTTTCAGCTAACTTTTTGTTACTTTTAAATAGAGTTAGCCATTTAATGTTTTTAACTAGCAGCTAGCATTAGTGTTTAGCTAACTTATAGCTAACTTGGCATTTTTAAATGTTCCCTTTTTTGATAGTTTTATGCTACTTTTAACTGGCTTTTGCCTCTTTTAGCAAACTTTTGTCTGCTTTCAGCTAACTTTTTGTTACTTTTAAATAGTTAGCCATTTAATGTTTTAAGCTAGCAGCTAGCATTTGTGTTTAGCTAACTTCAGCATTTTTTAAGTGTTCCTTTTTTAGTAGTTTTATGCTACTTTTAACTGGCTTTTGCTGCTTTTAGC